TTTATTTACAAAAACAGGCAGCAGGTCAGATTGAGCTTAGATCATCCACTTTGACCTTGCAAGAGCTTGATGAGTCAAGGTTAAAATAGGTAAAGCACCTAGAGCTATTTGCCCGATATCTTCAAGGTAATGAGTATTGAGTCAGAATTAATATCAGCCCTCCCAGCTCCCAATCCAGTTCCATCCCTGTCCCACTTTACGTATCAGCAGAGAGCCACCGAGAAGTTTAAAACCCCCAAGTCCTGGAAGTGTGGGTCAGTGGAAAGAATAATGCATCAGTTGCTGGGAAATCAGTCTAGTTCCAGGCTATGTCAACCAAGCAGGTCAAGTGTCCTCTCCCCATCCATTAACTGAGCTACCCTGACCGCCAAAGGGTTCTGACCGTCTGTCCCTACTCTGTGACTTGCCCACCCCACCCCACACTCACTTGACGGCAGTGGTGAGGCGCAGGGGCCTGACGCCAGGCGTGGCAAAGCGCAGAGTGTTCATGTAAGCCACATGCTGCAGGGCATGGTTGAAGGTCTCCACATCATCCCCCTCCAGGGTGAGCAGGGACTGCGAGGGGTTCACGTGGACCTGGGTCCCAGACACAGACACAGCTGAGAGCAGGCCCAGGAGGCAAGAGAGGAAGGGAGCCGAGGTAGAGAGGTGGGACAAGGTTGGGGAGCTGGGGACATGTCTGGAAGGAGAGGGCTGGAGGAAGGGGGTATACCTTCATGCCTTTGCCCAGGCTCTCGAAATCCCTATAGTCCAGCCCCTCCCGACATGCATAGAGGCACTCGATGACCTCGCGGCTCTCCAGGCGGCCTGAGCGCACGCTGAAACCAGCCAGGTAGCCATGAAAGTAGTGGTGGATCAGCAAGGGGTCTCCTAGGGCAGGAACACAGGGGCAGATGGGAGGTGAGAAGAAAGGAGGAATAGACAAGGAAAGGGACCAAGAGAAAGGGAAAAGAGAGAAAGGGCAGAAGGCTTGAGAAAGAAAATGCAAAGGAGAAAGGTGGGAACTAAAAGAAGGAAAGAAGAGAGATGAGAGAGGAATGAGGCTAAGTGGGAGATTGGAGAAGGCAGAGAGAGAATCTATAGTAATAAAAACTAATATGCTAATTAGACCAGATGTCCTTCCGGATGAAGCCGGGGCTGCGAGGGCCAAGGTAAGCTGCTGCAGCTTCGAGGACCAAGCCCCTTGTACGAATTTTGTGCATTGGGCCTCTAGCACAGCATAAAACAAGGGGAGAAAAGGGTGAAAAATAGAAGCAACAGAAATGAGAAAAGCTTCCAGGACAGGGAAAAAGGGAAGAAGAAAAGCAAGACTCAGGGAGGAGAGAGGAGACACAATGAGGAAAAGGAGGAGATTGCAAGAGAGGGCATCTTCAGAAGCATGCAAGGAGACCAGGGTGAATGTGTGTGAGCTTCACAGATGCCCAGATCCTCCTGTGACTGACTCCTGCCTCCTGCGTTTCAGTGAGAGAAACCCTTCACTCCCTTCTGTAGGCAGAATGGGACACCCAGAATCCAGCCAAACTCCATCTGGCCACTCACCAAGGAAACCCTACCTTGCTGTAGTTCTCAGAGGCTCTGCCCCTGGTGGCACGGGAAGCAGTAACTAACAAGGCTGAACAGGATTTGGTGTGGAAAAGGGAGTGCAGAACAGAGAGTTAAGGTGAGAACTCTCTGGTCTCCAGTTCTTACACACAGAGTACCTTGTGTGGCATCCGTACTGTTGTCTCCACCTTTTTCTTTCTCCTTGTTCTTCTCCTCTGGAGGAGGGAAAAAAGTGGCAGTGAGCTCAAAGTTGTAAGGACAGATTGACAGAGAGGAAAGAGGAAGAAGAGGTCTTCCCTGCTCTGGCCTGCCCTTATAGGACTTGCAACCTCTTTATTTATTGATTTGAGAGAGAGGCAGGGAGAGAGCAATTTGTTGTTCCACTTATTTATGTATTCACTAGAGGCCTGGTGCATGAAAATCGTGCACTGGAGGGGGGGTTCCCTCAACTCAGTCTGTACCCTCTCACAGTCCAGGAGCCCTCAGGGGATGTCCGACTGATGGCCTAGGCCTGCTCCCCACAAGGAGCGGGCCTAAGCCGTCAGTCTGACATCCTTAGCACTGCCACAGAGGCGGGAGAGGCTCCCACCACAGCCACTGCACTCGCCAGCTGTGAGCCGGCTTCTGGCTGAGCAGCACTCCCCCTGTGGGAGCGCACTGACCACCAGGGGACAGCTCCTGTGTTGAGCGTCTGCCCCCTGGTGGTCAGTGCGCATCATAGCAACCGGTCATTCCGTCGTTCAGCCATTCAGTCGATTTGTATATTGGCCTTTTATTATATAGGATTGGTTGTTTCTTGGATGTGCTACCAGGGATCAAACCTGAAACCTTGGTGTATTGGGACAACACTCTAACCAACTGAGCTACCCGGCCAGGGCCCCAACCCTTCTTTTGTTATGTCTTAATCCCTCAGGCCTCTAGTATGGACAAACCCCCAAATATGTTGCTGAGGAAACACAAATTCTGGTAAGACTGACAGACACACACACTCTCCCAGAAGGAAAAAAATAAATGAAAGAAAGAGCTTAAAGTTGGAAGATTGATGACTCTGAAGGATTACTGCCCTCCAACAGGGTAAAGGGCTGTGGAAATCATAATCACTGTGATGATTTTTTTTCCACTGTTCCAGAGTGGAAACTGGCTGAAGTAACAGAAAGATTCCCATGATGCCTGAGAAGGAAATTTTTCCAAGTTAGAGGTGATGACCAGTTGAATAGGTAGGAGATATAGGGGGCTGTGGTGGCCACTGGAGATCTTTTTGAGTCACCTTGCCCAACTGTCCTTGCTCCTTCACCAATTCTAAGCCACTAGAGCAGTGATGACGAATCTTTTGAGCTCGTCGTGTCAGCATTTTGAAAAACCCTAACTTAACTCTGGTGCCGTGTCACATATAGAAATTTTTTGATATTTGCAACCATAGTAAAACAAAGACTTATATTTTTGATATTTATTTTATATATTTAAATGCCATTTAACAAAGAAAAATCAACGAAAAAAATGAGTCCGCGTGTCACCTCTGACACGCATGTCATAGGTTCGCCATCACTGCACTAGAGGCTCCAACCTTCAGTGTCTTCATGGAGCAACTCAGCGACTTACCAGTCCAGCAGGCCCCGATCATGAGAGCAGGTTCCTTTCGGGGTGGGTGGATAAGACCATTGTCATGGATGAGAGCAGGGTCAAAGGAGATGCCATCAGCATAGAGTGTGACTGTGGGGAACTCAAGGTTCAAAGCATAGTGGTGCCACTCGTCATCGCAGACCTGGGGGAGTAGGGTAGGGGCAAGAACCCCTCAGTGACTTCATCTTCAGGGAACTAACACAAGGCACTGCCCCTTCTCCTGAGAATCAAGGGACAGTTCTATCATCGGGACTTATTAGGGACTTATTGCCTATCCAGCTCAAGGAATAACATCCTTGTGCAAAATCTATCAGGCAACCAACCTAATACCTAAAATTCCACTCTTCAGGTAAATCTTTAAAACTATAAACATTTCCAAAAGGAGTAACATGCTATTTTATGAATTAATTTTTCCCAAAATAATTTATGCTTGGAACATGCTGAACTCTTTCCTACTTCACGGCTTTTACATCTGTTTCTTCTCTGCCTAGAACACCCTCTCCTACCAGCTATTTCCCATCCTACTTACTTTTCTCCTCAGTCACCTTCCCTGAACACCCAATGTAAGGTAGGTTCCCCAATCTTTGCCTTCCCCTTTCCCCTACTTCAGTACCTTACTCTTTCAGAGCATTTATCACTATTTATCATTTTTATATGTCTGCTTACTTTCTAAAAATATATCTCCAACTGAAATGTAGCCGTAATGAAGGCAAAGATTTTGTTCCATCTTATACTCCATTGTATCCCCAGAATCTAGCAGATTGACAAGGACTTAATTGATATTTAATAAGTATTTTTTGAATAAATAAAAGTAAAATAAAAATAGGAGTAATGTTATCAATATTAGCAACATGGCAGAAGGTCAAGAAATAGCAAATGGCAGACTATCTCTTTTAAAAAGTACCACAAAAAGCAGAAGCTTTTGCAAACAGCCCTCAACTATCCAGTTTGTGGGTTTTCCAGGCCCTTCATTTGCCATTCTCTCTCTTCCACTTCCTGCCTTTTTTCAGTCATTTGCTTAACTAGCCACTCCACCAGGGCTTGCAAGAAAAATAGGAGATGGAAACCCATTAGTCCCCACTAGTCCTTGTGGTTAGCTTGGAGAATGCAACTGTTGGCTCAAGAGAGGATTTTACTGTTTTCTTTTGTGGGGTTTTGGTCCATTTTTACTTATCCTTCATAATCACGGATAATAACAATAAGAAATAGCATGTATAGAGTCCTTTCCAGTCTATGGTCATGTGTGGAATAATGACATTTTGGTCAACAATCTACCATATATACAATGGTGGTCCCATAAGATTATAATGGAGCTAAAAAAATTCCTGTCGCCTAGTGACATCGTAGCTGTCATACATAAGGTGCAGCACATTGCTCATTTGTTTGTGGTGAAGCTGGTCTAAACAAGCCTACTGCACTGCCAGTTATATATAGAATAACTCATACAATCATGTACAGTACATATACTTCATAATGATCATAAACAACTATGTTACTGGTTTATGTACTTACTATACTATACTTTTTATCATTATTTCAGAATGTAGTCTTTCTACTCATAAAAAAATTTTGCTGTAAAAAACTGTGAACTGTTATGCCAGCAGCAGCCTCAGATTTCTCGTGTTTACCATGGGTCTTGATTGCATCATTTTCTCTTGTGCTTGATTTAACCTCGTGTGGTTTTACACAGTAACATGCTATACAGGCTTGTAGCCTAGGCGCAAGAGGCTATCCCATATAGCCTAGGTGTGTAATAGGTTTCTGTAAGTGCACTCTGTGATGTTCACACAACAACGAAATTGCCTAACAACGCATTTCTTAGAACATAGCTCTGTGATGTTCACACAACGAAATTGCCTAACAACGCATTTCTTAGAACATATTCTGTTGTTAAACAGAGATAACAGTATAAAGGTCTATCGTGTCATTTAATCCTACAACAACCCTGAATATAGAATTCTTATTATCCCCATTTAATAGGTAAATAAACTGAAGTTTAGACATATTAACCAAGTTTTCAGAGCTAGTAAGTTCCCCGGGCGGGACTCAAACCCAATCTGTGTAACTCAGAATTACTTATTTTCTCAATTACAACATGCTAACTGCTTGAGAGTCAAAAACATGTACTATTAAGGTTCTAAATCAGAAAGAGATTAAATAAAACAAGGGGTAGGGGGAGGAAATGGTTGGCTGGGTTTGATGTTAGTAGTCATTTGTTTCCTATTTCCTTTTAACCCAGGAGTGCTTTCTGCAGGAGACAAGCCTTGGAAATAGAAAACAAAAGAACCTAGGGGTATAATGGTGAGGAACAGAAAGAGGGGGCATGGGCGACCCAAAAAACTCAAACCCCTGCCCTAGGCCCCTCCTCCCCTGAAAGCAAGTTACAGGCACCCATCTTTCTGGCACTGGCCTCACCTGCTCCAGCTTCCAGAGGAACTTGACTGGGCGAGCACTCTCCAGCAGAGGCCAGTAGAGGAAGGAAATCCTGCAGCCATGGACCGTCAGTGAGTAGTGAGAGAAGCCGTCCTCTGAGGGCAGAGGATGGGGATGGGGGTCAAACACAAGGCCTGGGGCAAGAACAGGTTCAAAGCACCAGAAGGGAGAGGACACTGGGTTCTCTTTGCCCTCTCATGCACTCTCTCACTCCTGCATTCACTAGTCTTCTCCCCCCAACACACACACACACACACACACACACACACACACACACACACACACACACACACACACACACACACACACACACCTACACCCAGTTCAGGTGGTAACTAGAGCTTCTTGGGCACTCTGATTGGCTGAGGGAGGACACCAGCCAGCCTGTTCCACCCAGATCATTATGGGTCCTTTGGTTAATACAAACATCACTGGTGACAATCCTCTTCAAGTCAAGATATATGACCTCAGAGAAGTGGCAGAAATGAAAGAGCATATGCAGCTGAGCCCCCTGACACCCGACCCCCAGAAGGATGTGTCACACAGTTGAGGGAGGAGATGTACTTAGTGATAGAGACAACTAGCCCTTATAAGAGGAAAATGGGTAGAGGTGGAGGAGAAAGGATGGGGCACACCACCACCCAGGCCTTTCCACCATAGTGGAAGGGTTTCAATGGGAGCAGATTCAGGGGGCAGTCTATGGTGGGATGCAGGAGGACTGGGCACCCCCAAGTGAGAATGGCAGTGAGCAGTCCCACTGCACTCTGAGAGCAGTAGGATCTCAACTTCTCATGTTGGGAGCCAATCAAAGAATTTCAGGAACTGTCAAACCTAGCACTGCCATCTTACAGGTGCAGCAAGAAGAAGTGACCCATTCACAGTCACAGACTGGACAGTGATAGAGGCAGACAAGAAGCTAGTGTTCCCACTCTCCGACCAGTGCCCTGAGCAAGGCTCACCATTCTGGACAGTGTTACACACGATGGTTTCCTCTTCCTTCTTGCCCTTATTGGGAGTTACACCGTGCTTCATCCAGAAGGACAGGGTAAAGTGGTCACTGAGGCTGTCCTGGGGCCCCGAGCCCAGCCCAGCTGTGCCACCCAGGGGCACCTGCACAGCTTGGGTGCCGTTGAACCAGTAGATAAGACTGCTGTCCTGGCTGTAGTGCACTGAGAGTCCTGCCGTCCAGTTGGCATTGGGGCCAGGCATGGGCAACAGATCCACCTCCCCAGTGGCAGCACCTGCAGGAGCCCCAGAAAACACATATGTCAGAGCTGAGCAGCAGCAGATTTGGAACTGGGGAGCAGGCAGGGAAAGAGTGACTAATGAGAAAAAATCTCCTATAGTTCATCTCACCATCTCTTCTGGCCTTTCAAAGACAAGAGAGGAATTGACCTCTCTTTTAGGAATACCTCTCCAACTAACTCATTCTCCAACTCTTCATCTCTCCCTATCATTTTTCCACAATGCATCTGGTGATCGTTTTGTGCTACAATTATGCATCTTTGCCAATAACATATTTATTTGATCTTTGGATCACAAGAGCTAACTACATGCCACAATCCCTGTGAATGGACAAAAGAAGATATAATGCAGATTCTTACAAAAGAGGTAGAGGAGGGTCATGTAAAGGCTGGGTGGGAAGGGGCAGGACTAGGGGTTGGGGATGCACACCCACCACAGAGTTTCCGCAATGCCCGCTCGGAGTAGTTGTCTCGGTCACAGCCTTTGGCCACATGGCTGGTCTGCAGCTCTATGGTGGCCTGAATATTCCAGAGAGGTTCATCACAGGTCTCCAGGCGGATACCAGGGAACAAAGCCAAGCTCCCGGCACCTGGTGCATATTCAATCCTTTTGTTCCAGCCTGCATGGGGGAGAGGGAGAGGGCCGTGGAGAGACAGAAGAGGAAGGCAGCCCCTCCTGTCTATCCATTCTGCTCTTGCCATTCCACTGACAGTCTCAGGCTCCTACAAAAATGGCTGTCCAGGGTGGACAGTTACAAGCCTGAACCTAACTATCCCTCCCCTGACTCCAGCCTAGCTCCCATGACTGTCAGAAGCGACAAAAAGTGAGGTGAAGGTAAAAAATGATTCACAAGATGAGTCACAGAGCAGGGCTCCTCACCTTGCCAGCTGGGTTTACAGGTGGGCTTCACCTGGATCTCCACCTGGGCGTCATCTGCCGCCCGCTTCTTCCCACAGTCATAAGCTGTCACCGTAAACTTGTAGAGCTTCTCCCCGCTGTACTGCAGCTTCTCTGTGTTCTCAATGTTCCCTGGGGTGGGGACGGGGGAGGATAGAGATGGTCAGAAGCACTAAAGAAAACCTAGGGAGACAAGGGGGGCAGGGGGCTCAGGAGCTAACTAAGCAGCAGGAAGCTGAAAAGAGGGTATCTCGGGGAAAAAGCTCCACATCTGGAAAGGAGTGTGTGGAGGGCAGAGAAGTGGACAGCTCAGCCCTGGGATGTCCTGAGGGATGTGGTGCACAAGGTGGGCGGGGGCTGGACTCACCATCATTGTCAATGAGGAAGGGGGTGTTGGGTGTGAGGATCTCGTAGTAGCAGATCTGGCTGTACTGGGGGGAGCAGTCACCATCAATGGCTTCCACCCGCAGGATGCGGTCATACAGCTTCCCCTCAGTCACTGCAGCTCGGTACAGCCGCTCCACAAACACGGGGGCAAACTCATTCACATCATTGACACGCACATGAACGGTCGCCCTGCATGTGCCAGAGCGGGAGGAGGGGAGAGAACGAGTCAGCCATCCTCATACTGGAGGCTCAAGAGAGGCACAAGCAGAAATCCAGACAGGGAATCAGAGCAGGAAGGAGGCAGTCTGTCCCTTAGCCTGGGGCAGTCGGGATGCCCATCCCCGCTCCCCAGGGCACCAGACACCTCAAGGGAGAGGGCCTTCAAGGGAACTGTGCTAAGGAAAGGATATCTGCTGTGAGGGGTAAGAACCACCCCCGGTGACACCAACACTGATTTTGATGGCTTCTGGACAGAATGCTATAGGTTGGGGCTGCCCAGAAGAGGGGTAAGAGGATTTTGTGTCCAGCAGGTCGTTCCTTCACAACAATCGGATCCAATGAGATAATCAAGGAAGATACAGGGTAAAAGCCAAGTTAAAAACCAACCATGGGAAAGGAAGTGGCATTTGTACAAAAGCCATGTCATCTGTCATGAGCAGTACACAGAAGTCAAGTATTGCCTTTTGTGAACAAGTGTACAATATGCATGTCAGCTGCGGCCCTCCCTGCTCAGGTCCCCACAGGGCAACCAAAGCTCAGGCTAACCCTTTGCGCTGAGGCCTGCCCCTAGCCTAGATCCAGGCACCCAGGACCCAAGAGGCAAAGTTCCTGTCTCCAAATGGGAAACTGAGTCATAAAGAGCCGTTGATCTCCAGGGCCTCTTAGCAACCCAGGAATCCTGCCTGCCAATTTTCATCCAGTCTCACATGAGAAGTTAGCTTGAAACAAAGGAGTCCCAGGTCCCAGCCTCTTTCATGCTGTCGCCAGCTCCTGCCCACCCTCACCCAGAGTGCTGTGTGTGTTATAACAGTGTGAGTGTGGTGCACACTGCAGATAGACCGGCGGGGCAGTAGGAAGGAATCTACAGTGCTGCGTGTGCTCCTTCGCTTCCTCCTTGCTCTCCTGGTCATCGTAACTCCCATGTATTGAGCCCATTACTATCTGTCAGGCACTGTGGTGCATGCTTTTTATACAAACCATCTCCTTTCATCTTCACAGCAACCTAAAGAAGTAGGTGACATCATTATTTCTATTTTACAGATAAGAAAAGCAGGTCCAGAAAGGCCAAGTTGCCCAAGGCCATAAGAGGCAGAGCCAGGGTTAGATCCCACTAAGTTCTACGATATAATTCTGTCTCCTGCCCCTAAACCCTATAAACAGAGAGGGAAAGGGCAGATAATACTCAATGACTGCACCGATGGAGGATGGCGAGGGGCTTGGAAGGAGGGAGGAGACCCTGCAGCAGGGGGCACGGGACTAGGGCTTCCTCACTTGTGGGACTTCTTGGTGTTGGCTCCATCAGGGCCCTCGCCACAGTCATAGGCCTGGATGGTGAAAGTGTGCTCCTTCTGGGCCTCGCAGTCCACTGGCTCCTTGGCCCGAATCAGCCCTTCTCCTGTTGCCTTGTCCAGGATCACAGCCTCGAAGGGCACCCCAGACCCATGGAGCCGGAAGCCACAGATCTCACCTGGCCGAGGGGGTAGGGAAAGATGAGGCTCTTGCACTACCTCCAGCATCTCCTCCCAGCCTCAGCCTCCCTGCCTCGGGTGCCCACTTCACCTCTCCTCCCAAAACCAGTCCTTTTTGCACATCTGAAAGCAATAATTATCAAGCATACAGCTCCAATACCAGCTTTCCTGATCAACAACCTCTCAGAGGTACCAGGTCTGAGATCTGGCAAAATCTTGATTCATTTAACCCCTATCCTGCCCATGTCCTCTCTGGTTGCCTTTACCCAAACACCAGCTTCAATGTAGCCCTTTCTACTCCTTGAGCCAACTTCATCTTCCACTTTCCAAGGCCTCTTTCCCACTTCCTTATTGCTCTCCTTCCCAGGACCTCCCCTCTCCTCTCCTGCCCTCTACCCTCCCAACCACTTTTCTCTGCCCTACCCACCTGGCAATCCACCAATCCCCATTACCTGCATAGCGCAGGGGGGCGTCCTTGTCCAAGGCGAAGAGTGGTGGGTTCAGCAGGACCGTGTTGTCATTCTCCATGACGATGCCCTGGTATTCCGCCTCAATCCATGGCTTGTGCTTGTTGGCTGACCCCCCAAGGGAGAGGAGAGGGAGAACCTGTGAGCTCGCCCGCCACTCCCACACAACTCTCATTGACTCAGAAAAACTCACACTCCAGTATCACTACCCTTTCCACACCCTGCAAAAGCACCTGCAGGTGGAAAAAATGAGGACAAGAAGTCAGCTATTAAAGGAGTCAGAAGGCCTGAGGGAGGTCACAGCCTTCTCCTATGGCAGGATAGAACGTTTCCATGGCAACAGTCTGCCCTGAAGAGAGGGATGGATCTTCTAACTTCACTGGGAAACATGGTCAGAGGGTGGAGAAATTTCTTTAGGGATTTCAAGTGCTGGAGAATGGAGACTGGAGAATTCAGGAAATAGTGGTGGGCCATCAGAAGGCCCTGGGAAAGGGAAGGGATAGATGAAGGGCTGAGTTGATGTTAGAAAAAGTAGGTCTAGAAGTTTCCTGAGATCCTGATTGTTTACCCACTCCATCACCACTACCACTACCCCATTCAATCCTGATCCCTTCACTCTGCACTTCTCCCAGCCAAGCCCCAACCTAAGGCCATTCTCCCAGAGTAGAGGGAAGAGGGGGAAAGAGAGAAGAGAAAATATATAGGACAGAGGGAGGAGGACAGAGAAGGGCAGCGATAGAGCGGAGGAATCAATGTCAAATAACTGGACCCAGCAGAGCCAACATCCTAAGGGATTATCAAGCTGGCCTAGAATCAGGACAAATCTCCTCCCTGCTTCTCACCCCCACAGCCAAGAGGACACACTCGTAACCAACACATTTCTATGTTCCCCCACCAAGGTGACCAAACCCCATGCTCCCTGAACCCCACTTTTTATACAGTCTCATAACTTAGTCCCAATTCTTGTCTACTCTGTCCTACTTCCCTTCAACCATCAGCCCATTCCAGGTGGATCAGCCTCCAAATCTCCCTATCTCCTACCAGACCTAGCTCAACTGTGCTTCCTGCCAGCACCAATTTCCCACTAGCCTGGTAAGAGGCTATGGGGAAAGCACAGCGTCTTCCCTTCCCTTCCTACATCACCTCCCAACCCCAACCTCCACCGCCTGCTCTATCTAATCCTATCATGTCAACCCTCAGGCTCCCAGGTACATTTATGATGGTCCATCAGCAGGACATGGGCAGAAAACGACATCATCCAAAAGGATGTCGCCAAAGGAAACTCGTCCCCAGAATGTCATGGTGAGCAAGAAATCCATTTTTTCCTCCAACCCTACCCCCAAAAGCCTTCTTGTATCTGAAAGTCTGCCCCTTTCTTGCTGATGACTACCACCACCCCTTCTCTCGTGGCAGAGGTGAAAGCCACAAGACGGTGCTCAGAAGGCAGCACAGGAAGTGGCAGGAGGCTAAAAAACCAGACTGAGGTCAGAGATTGAGGATGGAGGGGAGGCACACAGCAAGGTCAGCACTGGGCACCCTCTTCACAGCTCACCCCTGACCCTGCTCCTCTCCTCTTGGCCACCAGCTCTCTCCTTGTGTCCATCTCCTTTCACTCACTCCTAGGCTCCCGGTCTTTTCCTTCCTTGACTCTCCCCTCCCCCTCTTCTCCTCCGTTCTTCCTGATTTCCCTTTCATTCCTCTCTCCCCTTTTTTTTTTGCCTCCACTTTTACCCTTTCCAACCCCTTCTTATCCCCCTCCCATGCCTCATCTCCCTTCTCCTTCTCAGCTTTCCCTCTCAGCACTCATTTAGCTCCCCCACACACCCACTTCTGCCCTTTCCTGCCTTTCTCCACCTACCTGAGCCCTCTTCCTCCACCCCTTCCCTTCTTCCCTCCCTCTTGGTCCCTCTGTGGGCCTCACCCAGCTGAATTTATCTGCTGTCTGCCAGAGAGGGCAGCTCTGGTAACCCACAACCCAGCTGCATGCAGGCATAAGGGTATAGATGCAGAGGAACACGCCAAAACATACGTGCTCCGAATTGCTGAGCTGCAAGGAACAGTTTCTCCCCAGGATGGGATGGAGATGAACCAGATGATCTGCCACACACCCTTAGTGCACGCACACCCCAGTGAAAATGGAGAACCACCCGGAGATGTATAATGACCCTCAGGGCAAGTCCTTCCGAGACTTGAAATATCTCCAACAGAGAGAAATTGAGAGACAGGGAGACAGAAACCCCAAGATGGGAATAGGGACCAAATGGGACCCAAGAAGCCTATGGATAAAGATGGACCAGACAGGAGGATGTGGTGGGGGGGGCGGGGTATGTTTCAAAGGAAAGGAGAAGGGGTACGTCTGAGAAAATGGATGGGAAGGGGAATGGTGGGAAGAACTGACACCTGTCATGTGCCAGAGAGCCTCATGGCTCCTGCTCACCCCTACCCCACAATGTTCTGCCTGAAACCCCTCTTTTAGTGCCCCCACCCCCCACCTCACTCACCTTTGTTACAGGAGCTGGATGGAAGAAGGGAGGCCAGCAAGAGGGGCAGCAGCAGGAGGGTCATGGTGTGGTGTGGTAAAGAGCAGGGCAGGGCCAGGCGATTGCTCTCCCCTGGGAGCCTCAAGCCCACTTACTGCTCCTTGGGGGAGGGATGCAGGGGACCTCCAAGGAGGGGAGGGAAGAGAGAGGGCAGCAGGGCAGAGACAGAAGGAGCCTGCCGCCCACACTAGTCCATAGAGCAGACCTGGGCAGACCCCAACCTGGGTGGCGGAGGTGGGGGACTTGCAGTGGCTTCTCGTATGCTCTCCAGCCCGGCTTCCTCGCTCTTTCGCTCTCTCTGATTCCCATCCCCTCTACTGCAGGATGACGTAAGCACAGCCAGACGAAGATTGATGAGGCCATGGGCCAATCGGTTGACTGGGAGGGCCAGGTGCTGCAGCGGGGGAGGGAACCAATGGAACCAGGGAGCTGGGGCGGGAGAATGCTTTTAGGGCTTTTTCCCCCTGGATTGCAATTTGCGGGAGCCAGGGAACTGCGGGGGCTGGAGAGGAAGCTGGAAAGCCGTAGAGGGGGTGGGAAATAAGACGGACCTCGGGAGAATCTAGAAGCTAGAAGCTCGGGGGTGGGGAACCAAGACGTCAACGGAGACCTGAGGGAGGCGAGGAGGAGCAGTATCCGCGTCACCGCCCCCCCCACCCCCACCCCCCAACTCTGCATTAACCTCTTTACACAGTCCATTCCATCAGCAAGTCCCTGCTGCGTGCCTCCTGGGAACCGTGAAGTAAAACCCACAGCCTGAACCCGAAAGATCCTAGCATTTCAGTTCCCAGCCCCAGGTCTCTCAGGAAAACACGGGGTGGTCAGCAGGGCGGCGGAAAGGGCTTTGGAACTGAAGGAAAAGTGAGATTTTTGTGCCGCGCACGCACACGCACACGCACACGCACACACCTGTCGAGGCAGTCCACCACCGGGTGTAATTTTCCCCACTGCCTACCCTCCCTGCCTTCCTCTCCCCGAATTCCCCACCTTAAACCATCATAAATCAGCCCATTGATTCTGAAGCCAGAGAAGTTGGTAGGTTGGGGGCGGGGGGTGGGGCACAAAATAATTGAGGCACACCTCCCTCCACCATGGGAATACTGGTAAGCTTGGGCTGTCTGAGGGCTGAGGCACTCGGGGGCGGGGGGGGGGGGGGGGGGGGGGGTATGTATCATCAATGACTCCACAGGGAGAAGGAAACCCCTGGGTCCCAGGCCAAAGCGTGTAAAATTCTCCAGAATAGCCAACCAACCTCCTCCCTCACCTTCCGCTCTGGACTCTGAACTCAACACCTCATCAGGCTGCCCACCGCCCCCTCTGTGCTTAGGAAGAGGGGTTTCTCCACCTCCTTCCCAGTGGTCTTATAGGACAGAGCCTGAAATGCAGCTAGGGGAGCTGTCTAGAGGAGTTGTGCGGGCCAGCGCTATAGGATTTGCTTCACTTTGGCTCGTGGTCAGCTGGCTGTCCTCCTTCTTCCCCCACCTTCTCCCCTCATACTTTTCAGGGTCCCCAACTCAGCCCCAGGATCTCAGAATATTGTTGGAACTCATCCCTGGGTAAGCCTGGAAGAGCCCACACTCCACACAGCAAGACCAGCTCCTCCCAGGGGGACACCATCTCCCCAGGGCTCTGGAATGGTTCCCAAGCCTCCCACAAATGGGCTGGAAGCCAAGCTGACCTTTGGAAAGGCTCAAGTCTTGGATGACTGACAGCCCCAGATCCTGCTCCAGGTTCCTTCCTCAGGAAAAGCCGAGGTCCAGCACGACCTTGCCAAGTCCCTGCCCCTCCTTCAGGCAGCAAACAACACCCCAAACTCATCATGAGGGGAGGGAGGAGGTCTGGTAGGAGCTCTTATTGCAACAGAGCCCCGGTGCTATAAAAACCCTGGTAAGCATAGACCTTTACACAAGCCTGTCTCTGTGTGTGGAGGCCCGGCGGGAGTCTCTCCTGCCAGACAACACCCCTCCCTCCTCACCCTGTCTCCTATAGTCTCCTAAGATCTCCATCTCCATCTTGGCCAGCCCGGACAATGCCTCCCAACCTCACCGGCTACTACTGCTTTGTCTCACAGAAGAACATGGAGGACTACCTGCAAGCCCTAAGTAATGGCCTCACCCCTCCCAGACCCCTCTCACTCCCCCTTTTCCCTCTACCTTCCTGACTCTCCATCCCATTGAGAAGGGGGAATGCTGGGGTTGGACCCTGTGGAAAGGCTCAGGAGCTGGCACCTCTCTTGCCATCTCTAGCCAGGAGTATTTCTAGGAGGGAGAAAATCAATATAGTCCAGACCCAGATGAGAGAAAGCTCACAGCTCCCAAGGGGCTGCTGCAGGTGGGGGAACCCTGGCTGGCTGGCTAAGAGGACAGCGGCTAAGAGATAGTCCCCACAGACATCAACATTGCTCTGCGGAAGATAGCGCTGCTGCTCAAGCCAGACAAGGAGATTGACCATCAGGGCAACCACATGACAGTGAAGACCCTCAGCACCTTTCGCAACTACGTTCTACAATTCGAGGTGGGAGTTGAGTTTGAGGAGGACCTACGGATGGTGGATGGACGAAAATGCCAGGTACCTTTCCTCAGGTTTGGGGTAGGGGAGGGGATGTGGATGAGCAAGTAAGTGCTTCTTAACAATTCGGAGCAAAGCAAAGTGACCTCACCCAGCCAGAGCCAGGGGAAATGACCACCACAGCATGCTGTGGAGTCCCCAGGATAACAGGCTCCTGGTGCGCCCCACTCCCACTCTCTCCCTGCGGGATCTTATCACCAGTCAACAGGACCAAAAGAGCAGGTCACCCTCAGGCCAATGAGCAAATATTTGCTTACCCTCTAGCCTTTGACCCTATTCATCACCACAGTCTTTTTTCCCTTAGCCTCTGTAACTTCACTCTCCTGCATTTCTTTCTGCTTCTTACATACTCCTTTTGGTCTCCTTTGCAGATCCTAGTTCCCTGTTGCTTTTTACTTTTCTAATGTAGCTACTAGAACTCTCTCAATTATATATGTGGCTTACATTCTCATTCTATTTCTACTGAACGTTGCTGTTTCACATGGCTCTCATCTGCTCCTAGCCTTTCTCACTATCCCCAGCCTAACTCAGGCCCTCATTTCTCACCTGGTACCTGAAATTAGCCCTCAATCTTAACCCTTCTTTAAACCACTCTGTGTACTGTAGCCACAAGGACCTAACATGTAAAAGTGACCATGTCACTCCCTTACTTAAACCCTTTCCATGACAATCTACTACGCTCCAGGTAAGGTCATATGCTTCACACAGCACACTAGTGTCCTTCCCACATACACACTAGGTTACAGCCCCTCAGAACTGTTTGCCCTCTTTCTTACTTCTGTGCTGTTACTTTCCTTGCTAGAAATTTCCCATTAGCTCTAGTCTAATTAACTCCTCACTTCCTTGAAGATTTAGCTCCTCACTCCCATCCTCAACAGTCTTGCCTGGTATCATAAATATCTATTTACTGATCAAGATTCTGAGCTCCCTGTTTAGCAGGGTCTATCTTATAAGTATTGATTGGAATGCCCAGGCCCACCCAGCTCTGGCTCTGGGAGCTTAATCCTTCATTCTCAGGAAAGCTTCAGCTGTCCTTGAAACTGAGAAAGAGATTCCCTGATGGAACTCCCAACCTATCTCTTCTTTCCCAAAGGCCCCTCCAGGTTGACCAGAAGTATCCAGAGGACAAAGTCTCTGTTCTTCACCACCCACTCCCCAATTTCACCCTGGTTATCCTGCTCCCTCCCTACTCTGCCCTATAGTAGACAAACTGTGCCCCTCCCCCCCTCAGTGGCCTTTAAGAGTGGGGGGCAGGGGTCCTAAATCAGAGCAACCTTCTCACTCAGAATGAAGGGGCTGGAGCAAGACAGTGTCTGCTGTGGTGTAAAAGGGGACAGCCCAGCCAGAGTGGAACTGCCCCTCAGTCTTCCTTTACTCCTGCCTTGCCTGTAGACCATAGTAACCTGGGAGGAGGAGCAGCTGGTCTGTGTGCAGAAAGGGGAGGTGCCTAACCGAGGCTGGAGGCACTGGCTGGAAGGAGAGATGCTGTACCTGGTAAGCTGGGTGAGGTCTGGGAAAAGGAACCCTAATGGGCATGTCTGGAGAGGGGCCTCCAGCTAGGATTCATGTCTTTGCCCAAATCAGATAACTCTACTACTCTATCTCCTGCCCCCTCTCCAAAGAAAACAACCAAGACAGGGGGACAAAAGCACTGGGGAACAAAAGCATATAAAATTTTTTTTTCAAAAAAGCTCTGGGGAGAGTCTAGAGAGGAAAAAATAGAGTGGTCGAGGTGGGGCCCTGGCTACAAATCAAGTGAATGTCCATAAATCAAAACTGGAGAGATGGAGACTTCACCATTTCACATTCCCTGACCCAGCTACCTTCCTTCCTCTGGGGTGAAAAGTTGAAGGTCTGGACAATGATACAATTCCTCATGCATCAAATGCTCTAGTTGATGTATCCTGAGGATTAAATGGAGGTCAAGGTCCTTGAGAAAGGAGCTCCAGCTAGCAAGAACATTCGTTTTCCTCAACTTTCCTTCTTTATCCCCAGGAACTGACCGCAAGGGATGCAGTATGCAAGCAGGTCTTCAGGAAGGTCAAGTAGCCAGAGAGGAGCTGAAGGCCACTCCAGACAGCACCAGTCCCCAGACTCCTCTTGTTTGTGCACCTTCAAGCCCAGATTGTCCCAGGTCATCAATCCCTTTCTCAGGCCCTTACCCTCCCGCCGAGTCCCTCCTCAGCCCTCCCCACGTTAATCTATAACTTGCAGCCCCTAAGGCCAAAGTCCTTTCTTTCTCACACTCCACTGCCCAATAGTGACCTTATATCCAGTTCACGGTCTGGCCTCCTGGATGAAAGAAATGGGCAAAGAGGAAATGATGCTAGAGAATAACCAATCTCAACTCTCTTTACTTTCCATCTAAGAAAGAACTAAGTGTTGAGCATTTGAGGGTTAGTGAAAAGTCTATCCTGGAGGACCTTTTGGAAAACTGTGACTGGGGTTCAAGAATTTAAGAGTCTTTTTGTCTATGTCCTTGTCCTTATTTTGGAAAAAGCCTCATATGCTCAACAGAATCATGCCCAAGGCACTGAACAGAGTTCAGTTTACCAACATCTGAATGCATCCTGGCTATGGTAAACTTCCATCCTACATGTTGGGGAAGAAGGAGGTGACTGGGTAAGACTCTTTGTGCAGTACTGGGAGGAAGTTGAGAAGCTTCTAAATAGTGGCCTGGCCTCCATGACTACTTTAAGAAGGATAGGCAGCAAGAAGGCCTGAAAAGGGAAACAGATGGAAGATACAAGGCCAAGGGCTACAAAGATGAGGATCATGGAGGTGTGAGGGCAACAGTAAGAGAAAGACCAATAGGCCTGGCTATAGAGACCCTCTGCTTAAAGGCCAACAAAAATGGGGACAGAGGATAAGAGGGAGAACTGAGAACACCAAGGCCCCTCTCTTAGGGTTCTGGAATCACTGCCCTGGAAAACAGCCCCGAGGACAGGCCCTATTCAGGTTCATGGCCAGCTCTAACCTCTAGCACCTCCCTACCTCCAGTGGCCTTGGTTCTTTCAGAATAAAAGTACTGTAGGACAAGAGTCAGAAAGAAGAGGACTCGGTGTGGGGTGGGGACAGAGTCTGGCTGGGGTGGGGAGGGAAAATTGTTGGAAAGTCCCTGGCTTGTGCTCATTAGATGTGTTCTGCCCCCTGTAATGGCTCTGCCCCACACACATTCAGGACAGTCACTGGGGCTCCGGCCAGAAGGACTAGGCTTGCAACACTGACCCTACCACACACTCTGGAATGCATTTGGAAAAGAGCAAGAAAAGAACTCAGAGGAGAACTGGAAAGCTTATTCCTTGCCCAGACTCTCTGCAGAGTCACCCGGCCAAGTGGGGAGGAGAGAGAGCCTCCTCTCAGACACGCTGCCCAGCAGAAGCTCCAAGGGCTACTGGGCCTTACCTTGTCCCTTTTCAGGGTAGAGAGAAGCTGAAGGAGGATGCTCCATGTGTATTCACGCATTACCCAGGTCACCAGGTCTGCGCAGTGTCCCAGCCACTCTGCGTTCACATGCATATCCAAGCCTCTCCCCACAGGGCTGTGCTCTGTGCTCTTTATGTTAGTTCAGTGCCCCTCACTGGAGTCTTGACAAAGGGCCTGACCCCGAAGCTTGGAGGCCTCCATGGTGACTAGTAGGCCCAAATAAAAGCAGCCTCAATCCCCCAAAACTCCTGTGACATGAGTATCCTCATCCTCCACTCGATCCCACCCCTCCAGGAGCCAGCGGCCTGAAGACCCACAAAGGAACACAAGCAACCAGAGGAGGACTGAGCAGCTACAGAGCCATTTACAAGGGGGTGAGAGCCTGGACCTACTGAGACTAAGAGCTCTGCTGCTGCTGTTTCCCCCTGTGGGCAGCAGGGGGCGCTTCTCACCACAGTGGGAGCCAGAGACCCACCAAGTTGTCCTCCCTTCTCTGCCACCTTCTTGGATATTCCATTCCCCACTGGACACACATACATACACAGCAGACTTCCCAATCTGCATGCTCACTCTGACAATACCCCTACCCTCCTTCAAATCAGGCTGCTCCATTCATTCTGATAGAAAAGATGGTCACCAGGAGCACCAACATGTGAGTAAGGAAAGGAGGAAAGGACAGGAGAGGAGCCAACAGCCATAGATGGATGGGTGGATACCAAGGTGGGTCTCACCCCAGCCCTTCCAGGGGAACACAGGGTGGGTCCTGAGACAGACTTTGATTTTTTTATTTTTTTACCAGAGTCTTTGGTCCCAGGGAAATGATCAGGAATCCAAGATGTTTATTTCCCATCTGAGATAAGGGCTGGTACCCATCTAAGCCAGCCCTATGCCAGGCCCCTATCCCACTTCCACTCCACACAGCTGAGATAGCATCATATAGTTACCAACAACTTTCTTGCCTGAATGCCAAATGATCCTTTAGGTCAGTGGTTCTCAACCTTCTGGCCCTTTAAATGCAGTTCCTCATATTGTGACCCAACCATAAAATTATTTTCGTTGCTACTTCATAACTGTAATGTTGCTACTGTTATGAATCGTCATGTAAATATCTGATATGCAGGATGGTCTTAGGCGACCCCTGTGAAAGGGTCATTCGACCGCCTAAGGGGTCGCGACCCACAGGTTGAGAACCGCTGCTTTAGGTCAATCCAGACACTTCTGCTCAGAAGGAACTGGCCAACAGGGGCAGGAGGACAGGAGCAGGTGTGTGTCCTCTGAAGCAGAGGACCACATGCTGCCCGAGGACTCAGGCTCCACGTTCTGGGAGGAGGCCCAAGAGGAGGCAGAAGCAGCAAAGTCTAGCCGTGTACCCTTCCCTAGCTGACCCCTTCTCCCCCTGCCCACATGCCCAGGGAGCTCAGGCAGAAGCAGGAAATCCCTCAACCCTAAATCACAAAGGCCATCCCAGCCAGAAGGCTGACCCTGGAAACACTTTGAGGCCACTGCAAATCCTAGGATCCCAACAAAGAGCACAGGCCTGTCCACACTGACCCCTTTTCCCAACCCAAATGCTATCTCCTAAGAGGCAAGAACCCTGTCTGGTTTAGGCTTAAATAACCAAAGGTCAGTAAGAGGCCAGCAGTCCCTGATGTGGCTGAGGATAAAGATGAGGGCGGGGGCTGCCCCTGGCTATGGCCTGGTCCTCCCCTCCCCTCCTTCCTGCCCTTCCACAGGCTGTTCTTCCCTCTGGAGTTCACTGCTCCTGCCCAGCCTAGGGACGACCTCCAGTACCCACACCCAGCTCTCTGGGACATCTCTCCCAACTTTCCCCTCTCAATCAAGATAACACCCATGCCGTAGGGTCCCTGAGCACTGACCTGGAGCCACCCCAAGGCTGTGTCATGTATGGACAGTTGAGGATGGGGGAGACCTTGCAGGTACAACAGGAGGGGAAAGGATGAGGAGGCCAAATGGGCAAATTAATGGGCTCTGTGCAGGAGCCCATTAATTGGGAGGGAGTTTTACACAGTGATCAGGTGAACAGGCTCTACAGTGGGGCCTTGACTTACGAGTGTCCCGACTAACCGACTAACGAGTTTTTTGAGATACCAGCTGTCTCTCAGCCGATTTTTTGCACTGAGTTGATAGAGTAATTTGAGTTAACGAGCTTCTTAACGAGCTCCTTAACGAGCTCAGTCTCGGAAGGAATTAAACTTGTAAGTCAAGGCCCCACTGTAGTGTCAAACCACCACCTCTTACTAGTGGTGTGAGAATATACAAGCCACTAACCTATGGTAAAACCACATTTGCTGGTCATGCAAGGCAATTCCAAGGGTTCCTCCTTCCTCCCAGGAATATTCCATGTAAAATTGCTCAACATGCGACCTGGAATCGAGTAAGCATCGATGACATTAGCTGTTATTACCTTTACTATCTCCTTCCTCTTAACTCAATGATTAAAATGCCCTTAACTGGAAGCAAAGCCTTGTATTCTACAGTTAATGTTAAAGAGGGCTCATGCCTCTGAGGTCACGCAGTGGGTTATATTCATACCAAAGTACAACTGATTGATACCAAGGATTGAGAGATAGTACAGGCCTCACCGTGACTGGAGGTGACAGGCATGGAAGGGAGTCGTTGCCCCCTCTAAAGCTTCAGAACCAGAATCTCTCACTGTGTCCCATAGTCCCCTCACCCCCAGGAGGACAAGTGTGCTGTCCCAGACTGCACCGCCCTACAGAGCCCCTATGGAGTCAGCTCTGCAGAGCCATTAGGCTCCACCCCCACCTGAGTTCCTCTTGGACTCGCCCCCACAGTACACACTGAAGCTACACCATTCAAGGGGCTGGACCCCCCATGGCAGGGGCTGTGTCCAGGCCCCAGACTTTGCTAGTTACCAGCTGCAGGTGCAGCCACTTTCCCTCGACCTGTTCTGGCTCCTTACCCTTCTTCCCCATGGATGCCAGCACCCTCGGCCCTGCCCTGGTGGGTGTTTTCCTCATGCTTTCCTCTTGCCTGAGAGTCCTCCAGCCTCCTACCCCTGATCCCCTGCAGCATACCTCCTGTCATCTTTCTACCCTAATGAAGCCCCAGCGAGCCTTCCAATCGTACCTCTGTTTGGACCTCACCAGCCCTCGCTCCCTACCCTGGACATGACCCAGTATGCAGAGGATTGACTTGAGTATCAACTGCACAGTGTTCCTTTTATACCAGTGTGTGTGACCATCATGCATCTGTCTCGCACACGTCTCTTCTACGTAAGGTGTGTGGGGACAGGTGTGTATTGTCAGTGTGGCTTTCCATCCACTGTTCTCGAAGACTGCTGAGAACCAGCTCCTTCTTTTCTCTTTGCTTCATGCATGTGACAACAGCTGAGGGTATTCACTGACTCCGGCAGAGGGGCTGGGCAGAGCTAAAGGCACTGCTTGAGGAGTCACCGTGATCTTGGGCAAAATCTTTCACTCTGTGTGACTTTGTTTCCTCACAGGACTGGTCTGCTCTGCTTTGATGTCTGTGAATGATCTACTCTCTTGTCTTTCACTCCCATCTCCTCTCCTTCCCGGCTATTTTCAGAAAACCCTGGCTGCCTGTCCTTGACCCAGCTGTAAGGAAACTATCGTCTTGTTTAATAAAGCTTATCCTTCCAGCTCCCTGATGGAAATACAGTCTCAACACAGAAAAGGGCAGCTGGATTGCAAAGCACTCCTATTCCACCAGGTGGCTCCCTTCACCAACGCTACCGCTCACCTCTCCCTTCTCTTTCCCACTTTCTTCCTGAGTAGCACAGATGGAACAAGGGGGCACCGTTTGAATAAGGATTTATTAAAGTCTTGGCAGAAACAAAGGAAACTAAAGCAGAGAATAATAAGCCAAGTTGATTATCTAAAAATAGAGGCCCAGTGCACAAATGCGTGCACCAGTGGAGTCCCTCATCCCCCGAGGGGTCCTGGATTATGAGAGGGCACAGGCCAGGCTGAGGGATCCCACGGGTACACAATCGGGGCGGGGAGGGACATGGAGGCTGGCCAGCTGAGGAGGGACAGCAGGAGGGCTCCAGGGCATGTCCGGCCTGTCTCGCTCAGTCCCGATTGGCCGGACCCCAGCAGCAAGTTAACCTATTGGTCGGAGCATCTGCCACCTGGTGGTCAGTGCACATCATAGCAACTAGTCGACAGGTCAACTGTCTGTCCCCTGGTGGTCAGTGCACATCATAGCGAGTGGTTGAGCAGCCTTAGCATATCATTAGCATATTACACTTTGATTGGTTGAACGAACAACCGGATGACCAGATACTTAGCATATTAGGCTTTTATTATATAGGATACAAATGCAGCTTCACCTATAAACTCCTCATGTGAAAGGAAGGGATGGTGCAGGATATAGCAGAACAGCCTTGCTATCAGCAAGCAAGGCACATACGCAGTATGGTTAAGGAATCCTTTACTGAAGGACTTGACTTCAGGCTTCAAAGTCCACCCAAAGCCCCGGGATGGGAGATTTGGAAGTGGAACCTCCAGCCTCTGAACTTGCCCTTTGGACAATCTGCTGGTGTGAGACCACAGTCCTAGGTTCTCTGGACTCACTAAGGTTACCCTCCCCTAGGGTGGGAGGGCTTCTCCTTCCTGCCCATCCCCTCTCCTTGTCCACAGCTTCGTGGTAGTTTGTAACCTTTGCTATCCCCCCCCACCCCCCGCAAAGCCCCACGTCCTCTTGTGTTTTGTCTGCTGTAAGTCATTGTTTTATCTGTGCCGTCCTATTCCCTGATGGTGATGGGTGAAGGGGCCCTTCAGATCTTAGGGGGGAAGAGGAGAGAGGGGGCCAGTGTCCCCAAGGGCACTGTGGCTTCAGGTTAATCCATCTGAACTACAATCCTGCCTGGCAAAAATAACATCCTGCCCACTGACCTTCTGCATTTATTGTACTAAAATGACATATCGACTTCAGTGATAGCCAGCCTCTGAGATGGCCCCAGGGATCCCTGCTCCATGACATTCCCATCCGCGTGTCGTCCCCTCCCATACTGTATCAGGGTTGGTATGTGTGACCAACTGAATATGATATGATATGATACTATGAAGTGATACTATGTGACGTCCAAGGCTAGGTTATAAAAGACATTTCAGATTTTCTGTTCAATGTTGTGTCTATAGCTTAAAATTTGTTAAGAAGATAGATCTCACCCTATCCAGTTTGGCTCGATGGATAGAGTGTCGGCCTGCGGACTGAAGGGTCCCGGGTTTGATTCCAGTCAAGGGCACATGCCAGGATTGCAGGCTTGATCCCCAGTAGAGGGCGTGCAGGAGGCAGCCAATCAATGATTCTCTCATCATTGATGTTTCAATCTCTTTCTTCCTCTCCCTTCTCTCTGAAATCAATAAAAATATATTTTTTAAAAAGGTAGATCTCATGTTAAGCATTCTTACCAGAATTAGATAAAAATCTTTTAAAAAAGACATTTTGGCCTCAGCCTTGTTCTTTCTATCTTAGATTACTCCGGGGAAGGTCAGCTGTCATGTCATCAGGACACTCAAGTGTCCAATGAAGAGGGCTGTGTGTCCAGGAACTGAGGCCCCTGCCCACAGCCCTGTGAGCCAGCCATCTTGGAAGCAGCCCTTCTAGCCCCAATCAAACTGAAATCGGACAACCAATGGGTCGGGGTTGCCTGTCACTATTTGAGCCAATTAAGCAGAGACAGAGTTGAATCATATATGAGTATTTATTTCAATAATGCCGGCGGTATGGGAGAGCAGTAGGTCATCCACAAAAATCTGTTTTCCCCTTCCCCATACGCCAGCTGCTTATTTTGGGTAGAAGGACAAAGATTACATGGGAAAGTTAGAATTACAGGCATGGGAAAGTAGGCAAGGTATAATGGTTACAGGTTGCTGGTCAAGGGCATTAAAAAATAATAATAATAAAAAAATAAATTTAAAAAAAAGAAGAAGAAGAACAAAGATTACATGGGAAAGTAAGAATTACAGGCATGGGAAAGTAGGCAAGGTATAATGGTTACAGGTTGCAGACAATACGGGCTGGGGGTAGGGAGGGGTGGTGGAGGAGGTCATGGAAAGCAGGTGCCTCCAGGTGCCTCTGGAACCAGATGACAAGCAATAGGGGCTGGGGGTCGAAAAGGGGCGGTATGGGAGAGCAGTAGGTCATCCACAAAAATCTGTTTTCCCCTTCCCCATACGCCAGCTGCTTATTTTGGGTAGAAGGACAAAGATTACATGGGAAAGTTAGAATTACAGGCATGGGAAAGTAGGCAAGGTATAATGGTTACAGGTTGCTG